TATTTTAAGCATTTAGCATATTTGCAAACTTATCTATTTAATCAGTAAATCACGACTAAACAGTGAATCACAAACAGTTATGTTGGGAAGATTAGTCAAAGTAATTAAATTAAGCTCATCTGGTGAGCTTCACAGCTGAGCATGGAAGTGAAGTGACCACACTATGCATTGCTGTATATTACACTCTAAATTTGTATTTATCTTGTGCTTTTTTCTTTCACGGGTGTCAAACTCAATTTCATTGAGGGAGCATCAGGGTTGTGTTTAACCTTGGAGGCAGGTTGGGCGTGGCCAGGGTGGGTGTGGCCAGCTTGACATCACTCATGTCAGGCGCCTGTGGCCCAAGCACTCTGCCAGAGAAACTGCCCGAGTTCCATTGTCAGCTGGGATGGCCTCTTGCAACCCTCTGCCAGCAAAAACGCAGCTCGTGAGGGCCATGTTTTTGCTGGTAGAGGCACCATGGGCCGATCCTTCACTATTTCCAGGGTTCCCACACAAGCCAGATCTAAGTACCCTGCGGGCCGGATCTGTGCCCTGGGCCTTGAGTTGGACACCCCTGCACTATAGTATTTATAATAAGATAAATAATTACTGGATTACTGGAACTTGCAAACTCATTATGTGGATAGCCTGCTTTTGGCATAACATGTTAGCAACTGTGCCCTATTCTGTATATGGTGGTTACAGTAAAGTAGGGCTATCATATTTGCCTTGCAAAATCCATGCAACCAACAGAGGGCAACAAAGAGATATAGAAAATCCTGACTCTGCTGCCATCTGGAAGTTTGCAGTCTGAGCTTGTAGCTGCAATTCAGCAAACTCTTAGTATATCTTAGTCACTTTTAATGCATTGTGTCAATTCAACCATTAAGTCCACATCAGTGTGAAGCACTTTCCGTTTATAATTTACAAAGAGACCTCAAATGTTTCATGTTTTATACAGAGGGAAACTAAGAAACTTTCTGCTTAGATTAGCTTAGTAGTGAATGTCTGCATAGAGAATGCCATTGGAAGCAGTGGTAATAAATCTCTTTCTAGTCATTGGCTTTGTTGCATAGCTTATTAAACTTACTAGACTATCAGTAAATGTAGTAATTGATTTATGGGTCAAACTGTGTTCTGGGCAGAATGTTTTACAATTAGTTTCACTCAAAGTTACTTTAACTTATCACCCCAGGATTTACTTGTTGACCGGATATGGATGTGGGGTTTGTGGTTAACCTCTGGACAAAACTCAAGAGGCAGAATATCACATAGAAATGGCAGATGGAAGGGTAAGTAAAACAGGACCCAACGGGAATGGAAGGACATAAAACCTTCCCCCTGCTCCTTTCACAGTATCTCTGTTCTATAACACGGACACTGTTATTTTTAACCGAACAGTAACAAAGAGGAGGCAAGATGTCACCTCTCTGGCTTTAATCGCTGCTTACCAGTGAGTTGTGTTTGGTTTTGCATTGCTGTGTCATCCAATGCCAGATACCGTAGCAAGGACATACTTTATCCATGGTTACTGCCTGATTAGCCACTGTACAGTCAGGCAGCCCTGACCTTTATTTGTGAAGTCCTTACACCCACTTTATTGTCAGCATTCGACATGGGTGAAAGCATTGAGTGGCTTACATTGTCCTCTACTTTTTTCCATAAAGGATCATCAGTGGAAAATAATGTTGGAAGGTTTTAGCTGACAACTGCCATTGCTATAACTTTGCAGTTAACTGTTTCTTGCTTTTCAAAAGGACTACAAGAAGATCTTGTTATGGGCTGCTTTTGTGCAACAAACCATTTAAGGTTTAACAAGATGTTTGAACATATCAATTGCAATGATTAGATAATGACTTATATCCAAATGTATTGTAGGAATCTAATGATTGGTGGTTGATTCAGTACACACTGGTTAAGCCAAGCATAGCTTACTATTTTGTATGAATAAGCTACACATAGGGGCATCTGTTGACTTTTTATAGGCAGTAAAAGAACAAACCCAAAGTTTGGATCCTTGATTATAAAGCAAATGAGGGAGATGAGTCCTTGCTATTATGGCTGTCAGTTGCGCCTGACGAATATGTATATATATATATATGTGTGTGTGTGTGTGTGTGTGTGTGTATGTATGTATGTATGTATGTATATGTGTGTGTGTGTGTGTATTCTGAGGTTTTCGCGGGTTTTTGTATGTGGATCTTTGGTTATTCGGGTTTTCTCCTGCATAGAATTGGAAGTATCTAGGCAACGTTTCGATGACGTCTCAGTCATCATCTTCAGGCTTGTGTCTTCAGCCTTGCGCTTCTCAGAGTAAATTTACTGAAGTAAATTTATATATATGTATGTATGTATGTATGTATGGCATTCAGCTTTGTTCGGGTATTTTCCCACGTCATTGTAGTTGTGCTTTTAAAGTTGTAGCGACGTTTCAGCAGACTCTCATCTGCCATCATCAGGCTTCTGTATAGTGTTCATCTGTGAGTCAGGCTTTTATAGTGGTTTCAGATTTAAATTTGGGGCAGCCTACTGCTGTGCCAGAATGGTTTTTTCTTCACCCTGATTGGTTGGGAGTCTTGGTCTGTGTTTATTGGTCTTGGAGTTTGCTGTGTTCTGCTTGATTGGTGTTTCTAATATCTCCTGTCTGTTTTTTGTCTCTTTTTGTCTCTTGATAGGCTGGCAACATTGTGTTACTTTATTGGAGGCCTTTAGTGCAGCTTGTCTTCGGGTAAATGGACGGCTATCATTAGTTAGGAAGCTAGGTTTCATCTGGGTGCCTGGTTGGGGTGTGTTTGAGCTGGAGGTATCAGGGGAAAGATTGAAAAAAGACCAGAAAGCATGAATAGAAGAGATGATTCCACCAGACTGTCAATCATTTGGAAGCCTGCACTCACAAACAAAAAAATCTCCACACCACAAGCCAGGCAAACACCTGGGCACAGAGAGATCCCCCCTGATATGTGTGTGTGTGTGTGTGTGTTTTCTTAAGGTTTTGCAGGTGCTTACATGTATGGTATTCAGCTTTGTTCAGATGAACACAATACAGAAGCCTGATGATGGCAGATAAGATTCTGCCGAAACGTTGCTACAACTTTAAAAGCACAACTATAATCAGCAGGAAACTTAACTGCACCTGTTTCAATTTGTTCAAAGGATCAATTTGATAAGCTGGCAATCCTATCATGGCAGTGGTTCCTTTTAACTGGAATAATTCTTTGTGATCACATTAACTGCCCTCATTTTCAAAACCTATGAACCCCATTTCAGAAAATATGGGTGAATGGGTGGAATTTAAGCATTCTTAACTAGATTTTCTTATCTGCTACCCTTGTCTAGGGGAGCAAGCTGTTGTTGCAGCTTTCTCTGTTTGCCAGAATAATAGTTACTTGGATATCTCCTTTCCTAGTTGCTTTCTTTGAAATCTTCAGGGTAGGTTTAGATTTTTTTAGAATACTTTATTGGCCAAGTGTGATTGGACACACAAGGAATTTGTCTTGGTGTAAATACTCTCAGGGTTTCAGGGTATAGAAAACATTGTCATGGATTCATTTATAGGGTGCTAGAAAAAGAAAGTGGGTCTGAAAGTTTTTGTCTCCAAAATCAACACAGGCGAATATTTCAAACTTATCCCAGTAATATTGCTTAACAATATTTTGTTTGTAATATTTAAATATTAAAAATTGTTAGAATTTTTAAAACATGGTATAAAAAATATACAAGCCATCCTTGACATAAAACCATTTGCTTAGTGACTGTTTAACGACCATGCTAAAAGTGACTTATAACCGGTCCTCACGCTTAAGGCTGCATCCCTGTGGTCAGTGATCTAAATTTGGGCGCTTGGCAACTGGTATGTATTTTCGATAGTTGCAGCATCTTAGAGGGTCACGTAATTATGATTTTCCAGGAGGCTTCCAACAAGCAGGGTAAATGGGGAAGCTACATTCACTTCACAACCCCTTCCTCTCCCTCACCTAAGCACACAAACTATAAACAATGTATCTATAAACTAGGGATGATACTGGATTAAAAGCAAGAGTCATAAACCTATTATGAGGAATATAATACATTGTAACACCTCTGAACCCTCCAGAACAAGCTTTGACCACCTACAGATACATATTATAAAGGCTGACTCATACAAACCTGCTATTTAAGACTTGTGATAAGGGTTGGAGTGGGTGCATCTGGTAAGTAACTGAAAATTTGTATCATTGGAGTGTGTGCATCTTTAACTTCTGGTAAGTAACTGAAAATTTGTATCAGTTTTTAGTCACCAGCCAATTTATTCCACCCACTTTCCAGCTGTTACATTCTTCTGGAGTAACTCATGGCTGTGTTCCTGGAAGGTTATAGCCATCTGTAAGGAAGAGACCCAGGTGGGTGGTTTTTAAACAAAGCCAGTTTGGGTAATTCACCCTGTCTGACTAACTTTTCTCCGAGGATAATGAATGTGTTGTGCAATTTAAATGAGGCTAAATGCAAGTCTAAATGCAAATGAGACTGAAGTCGGAAAAATTGGAGTTCAGCTACCGGTATCAAAGCTTCTATAGATTTAGGTAATTAAAATAGTGGATGCTGGTTATATTCATGGATGTGAGAGAAACAGCTGGGTTTGCAAAATGTTAAAAAGTTTCCAGGAAAAAGGTGAAAATGTAAGCTTTTGTATATATATTTATGTAGCTTTGTTCTTAGCCCATAGAAAATGGGGGACAGAAGGCAAATTCTTCTGAACTGAGTTGCCAGCTGAATTGTGGAATCCATGATTTCTAGCACTTTACCCTCAAAAGATAACCTTGCTCTTGCAGAGCTGAATTTATCAAGATGGGTGATAGAACAGCTTTGAGAAAATTAGTAAGAGCTGATGAAACAAACCATGAAAATCCTTTTCCATCCTGGGAACAAGCCTAAAACTACTTCGGGGTGGGTGGGGGTGGAGCACTCTAATCAGATTAGCATCTTTTCAGGGATTTGAATATGAATCTGAGAAGTGTCACCCTGGATGAAACTAATGTTGTTTTATCCCATTGTTCTATCTGGATGGCAGCCAATAACCAGTGCAGAATTGCCCAAAGTAAAACCCCTAGATCAGTTGATCAGTGTCTCTGCATCAAAGCAAATGCAAGGGTTTATTAAACCCAGACTTCCTGCAGAATGATGCCCAATAGCATGCACACACACACCCCGGTCTGCTGCCAGTATTGTGCCTGGCAAGTGGTCTGTCTGCACAATGATTATCAGCAACAAGTTTAGCATAGGGCTCTGGTGAAATATTCTTCTACTGTAGTATCGTACTGTGTTGTTCCCCTCGGACTCATTTCTGGTGATGGATATGGAAACAAAGCATTAGGTGATCGCAGTGCAGCAGGAAAATGCTCGACCAAACCAGATCTTAACATTGCCAAGAAAGGAAACCAAATATTTTATGGATCGCAGCCTGATTTTTCTGATTGGCTCTGAAAATTTAGAGTTTTCAGAAGAACTGGTACTTCAGCATCAATAGTTGCATAAACAGACCCCAACTCAAGTATGTACATCAACCCTTCCTAGTCACATAATGATGAACAGTCAGTACATCACCTGCAAGGGACAGATCCTATGAAGTGGGGAGGATTATGCAATCAATTGTTATTTCATTTCATAACCTTAGTGCATGGCTGGGTGCCCACATAGTATATCAAATGAACTCTGTTTATTTCTTTTGTCCAGGTCTTCAGAATCATAGAGCTGCAAGTGTCCATTGAGGTCCTTGAGTCCAACCCTCCGATTAGTACAGATATCCAATTTAAAACATCCCAGATGGATAGTTGCTTGCTTTCTCCTTCAACACATCCAATGAATGAATGAATGACACCCATTGCCTGTCAGTTGATTTGCTCCTACTGTTTAGAAACATTTTCTAATGTTTAAGTGGATTTGCCTTCTAACAATAAATTCCTTGAGGAGATGCAAACAGAGTTTATAGGCGACATATTTCAACTGCATCTAATGATAAGACTCCAATTATTTTTCATTTTTCTTTTCTAACAGATTAACCCACCCAAATCAGGAGGGCTTTTGTTCAAAAGTGACATTCTTTCATCCCAGCCATGAACCTTGAAGCTCCAAAGCCAGAATTCAAATCTGCCACCAGGGTGACTGGGGGGCCTGTCACTCCCAGGAAAGGCCCTCCCAAATTCAAACAGAGACAAACCAGGCAGTTCAAGAGCAAGCCACCAAAGAAAGGTGTTCAAGGGTGAGATACAAAGTGTTACCTTGCAGGAAGAAGGGGGTTCACTTTCTTTTAAATCAAGCCGCCCAACTTGAGTCCCGGTCCCAACTGGCACTTCAAAGCCACAGTGTGACTTCCAGGGCCATAACCACAACTGTCGTTCAATTGCATTGGGTAAAGTGGGATAGAAAAGAAACAAATACAGATAGACCTTGACTTTTAACCATTCATTTAATAAGTGTTCGAAGTTACAACAATACTAAAAAAAAGTGACTTATGACCAGTTTTCACACTGTTGCGGCATCATCACAGTCACATGATCAAAACTTGGGCGCTTGGCAAGCGGCATGTATTCATGACAGTTGCACTGTCACTATTTATAACCTTCCCAGCCAGCTTGTGACAAGCGAAGTCAATAGGGAAGCCAGATTTGCTTAATGACCTTATGATTCACTTAACAACTTCAGTTTTTGTTTAGTAACTGCGCCAAAAAAGGTCATAAAATAGGATAAAGCTCACTTAAACAACAGTCTTGCTTAGTAATGGAAAATTTGGGTTCAATTGTGGTCATAAATCAAGGATCCAGTGCGGTTGCCTAGAGGTGAAGCTCTCACCTCACAATCAGGAGGCTGTGAGTTCGATCCTAGGTAGAGGCTAATATTTGGAATAGACACTCCTGCTCAAGCAGGGGGTTGGACTAGATGACCTCCAAGGTCCCTTCCAACTCTGTTATTCCATGTAGTGACTAACTGTACATTGCTTAGATATTTATATGGGTGTTTCCCTGCAGTATAGCTGCAGACCAGTTCCTGAACTCCTTTACATTATTTCTATCAATCTCTTCTGTCAAAAAGAAAAGTTTTTTTTTTAAATCACCTAACCTATGTGCAACTGAATAAAGAGGTAATATTTCCATGAAGTTATTGTGCGTGGAAGCCAACTTTTTAGGAAAACAGTCTCTTCTCTCTCTCTTTCTCTCTCTCTCTCTCTCTCTCTCTCTTTTTTTTTTTTTTTGCAGGTTTGGTGATGACATTCCCGGTATGGAAGGCTTGGGAACAGGTATGAAGGATTGATTGATGACAATAACTGAAGTGTGCTGAAGTGAGAAAGTCAGGCTTCTGCAGGTTCCTTGCAGTTTTATCTTTCTTGGCATTGCTTATGGGCAGGTCCAGCTGTTTTCAGCCACAGATGGGATATTTTGGGCAATGGGGCAACTGACATTGAAACATTTATAATGTTAGAGGCTTGCTTCCTTTGTCTAAATTTACTGAATTCCTTCAGTAAACTGTGAATTCCTTGTGTCTGTAATTTTATTCCTTTACTATATTTTGGTAGTTACATTTCTGTTCTTTTCTGTAACGAGCGTTCCTGCATAATAGGAATATAATCCACAACAGATATTTATCAATTTGTTTTAGGAAGGATCAACCCTAGAACCTGCTCCAAAAAAACCAGGGAATTACTATTTAGTAGGCAAATCTGGGCAGAGCCAACACAATTCCACCAACTCCTCTTAGCTGATTTGTATGATTATTGATAGCATCTCCAGACCAGCAGGTGCAAAAAGCAAAGTTTCAGCCAGATTACTTTCATGGGTGTCCTCATATTTTCTTCTCTAGGGTTTTTTTTTTCCATCCAGGATTGCAACAGGAGTATCATATTTATCCAAGTGCAAGTGGTTCTTGCATAGAAATTGGCTTCAGGGGCACATCAGAAAGAGGGACAGGGAAGTAAATGACTTCAAAAAGTACTTGACATGCTTTTACTATTGATTATCAGACAGTCATGAGTTTTGGCAGAAAGAATGTATGTACCTAGTGCAGAAGATCCACCCGGATAAAGTCTAACAGCACTAAGCTGCATGTGGCACATCTTTTTTTTATCAAACTTTTTATTTGTATCAGTATAAAGGGGCCAGACATCATGCTGAAGTATGATTTGTATTTTGCAATATAGAGACAAACAGTGCTCCAAAAGCTGTTTTGGCATGTGTGAGTGTGTGAAAGTGGCACCTCTCTGAACACCTTGTTACAGCCCAACAAGTGTTGTATTTGTGCTTTTGCATGCTTAAATATCTTTTGAAAGCTGGATTGAAAGCATTGTGTAGGCCTAGGAATACTATAAGCATCCTATTCCAAAAATGCTATCAGGGGCGCAAATACCTCTGTTATCCTTTTCCTCCCATAAATTCCTATAAACGTACTTTGTTTGCAGCTGGGTTTTATGCTACACAGTAACCATAAATTACATCTTAAGCTTCAATGCACATGAACAAAGTCTCATGAACAAAGTCTGCATCTTCAAGAGGTGGTATTCATCAGGTTCTGACCAGTTCTGGAGAACTGGTAGCAGAAATTTTGAGTAGTTCAGACAACCGGCAAATCCCACCTCTGCTGGGAGATTTTACAGTATCCTTCCCCTGCCATGCCCACCAAGCCACACCCACAGAACCGGTAGTAAAAAAAAAAAAAGAATCCCACTACTGGTCTGAATCAGTCTATCTGCTTTCTAAAATGTCCTTATTTATTTGGCTGTGGATAACTGCTGTAGCCCATTTGGTCCTCCATCCTTTTGAATGGCTGTATGGAAGTATTGAATATCCACACGTATGTAACATCTGCATTGGTACTTAGATCAGATGGCAATAAGGTGACTGTAGCCCTCAGTTCTATTCCAAAGGATTCAAAGATTGATCAAGATCCCATTCCACTATCTGATTTTTCAAACACCTTATGCACTTTGAAGACATCTTCATATCATCAGAACGTTAATGCTGGCAAGATGTAATCAGGGTTGAACTGATGTGGACTTTGCTCTCTTTCAGATATCACGGTGATCTGTCCTTGGGAAGCTTTCAGCCACCTGGAACTCCATGAACTGGCACAGTATGGTATCATTTGATGACATAGAAGCCAGAAACAGGCCTTTCATTCAGCAAGCAAGAACAGTTCGTGAGCATCCATATTATCCCTGCAAATTCACTTTCCCAGTAGTAGCCTGTTGGGTCCTATAACAGTTGCTCACTAAAATAAAATCCAAGTAAATAAATCTTAGGCTTGGTCTCTTATTATTGTTCCTGCAAGGATTTTTCCCCCTCCTATTAAACATTTGCAAAAAAAAAATAAAATCACAGAGAAATTACTTCATTTTATGCACAGTAAGCCCCACATTTTACAAGTCCATCATTTCCTTCTAATCTTTTTTTTTTAATCCTAGTGTTTTTTTTCCCCACATGTGCAGGGTCCCCACTTTTTTCTGGATCATCTGAATGTCCATTGGTTGCAACAGGAATTCATTGTTCGTTGTCTGAGCCTAACATCATGAGCTGAGAGAGAGTGACTGACCCAAAATCATCCAGCTGGCTTTCATGCCTAAAATGGGACTAGAACTATCAGTTTCCTAATTTCTAGCCTGGTATCTTAACCACTAAACCAAACTGGTCCTCTTTCCTTCTGATCTGTCTCTTGGATCATAACAATTGTGAGCAGTAGCTGACCTAATTGAAAACTACTCTAATATTTCTTGCTTAGGTAAGTTGCCAGTAATTGAAGGTCCAGGAGATGGACTGCAGTGGTGAACCTTTAAGATTTAAAAGAAATCTCAACAATTACAAATTTAAATTTGACAAAATAAAAATATTGAAAATATTAAAGTGCTGCTCCTGTATAATCCTGGAGAGGAAACTTTCAACAAGAATAAACAGAATAAAGTGTTGGATGAGATAGATATTTATTTAAATGAAACTTCCTTTTTAGTGGAGCAGACATACTTTCAATGAATTCCAGATAAATTTACTTCTAGATAAATGAATACAGGATTCAAACCTCAATTTCTCCACCACACATAAAGCCATTAAATTTTAGAAGGGTTGTCTATACTGTTGCTATGTAACAATTGATGCATTTAATTCTGTGGGTCAAAATTGTTGATTATAGACATTCAAATATGACACAGAAGAGATTTAAGAAGGAAAGCATTATATATAATTAATGAACCAAAACTATTTACAACCAGGACTGAAATGAAGCATAGGAGGAAAATATTATATCGGGCAATATAAGTGTCTTTGGAAAGCTCATCTTTGGTAAGATCACACTTGGAATATGATAGTTTTGGTCATCACAATACAAAAAAGATGTTGAGACTCTAAATGGGCAGAAAAGAAAAAGATGATTAGGGGGATGTAGGCTAAACCGTACGATGAACGTTTTCAGGAACTAGATATGTCTAATCTAATGAACAGAAGGGCCAGGGGTGACATGATAGCAGTCTTCCAAAATTTAATGGGCTGTCACAAAGAAAATGGAGTCAAGCTCTTCTCCAAAGCACCTGAGGGCAGGACAAGAAGCAGTGGATGGAAACTTATCAAAGAAAGAACCAACCTAGAAATAAGGAGAAATTTCCATACAGTGAGAACAATTAATCCGTGGAAAGTGTTGCCTCTAGGTGTCATGGGTGCTCTTAACAGTGGAGGTTTTAAGAAGAGATTGGACAGCTATTTGTCCAGAATGCTATAGGGCAGGCTTGTCCAACCCGCGGGCCGCATGCGGCCCAGGTCGCCTCGTAATGCAGCCCAGTGCCCACCCCAACCTTCGTGCCAGAGCCAGCGAGGAGAAGGAGAGGCAGGCACGAGGTGGGGCGAGGTGAGCGCCAGGCCAAGCAGCAATAGAAAAGACGGGCGCCGTCAGATTGCCACCTCCTGCTGTTGCCACCACCGCCGCCGCTTCTGCCCCCTCTGCCACTTCTACCCCCGCCGCCGCCGCCGCTTCTTCCCCCGCCACCGCTGCCGCCACCACTGCTGCTTCTGCCTTCCAGTCCTGACTCATCCAGCCGGGCCATTTGCAGGAGGAGAGGTAGGCGCGAGGCGGGCGAGCTTTCTCCCCCCCCTCTGCAAAATTTGGCCGGAAAATAAACCGTAATAAAAAACCATGATAAAAAATAAATAATTTTTAATAAATAATAAAAACATCTCACTAACTTCATTTCCAAATAAATTTAATATGTTAACTATGTTTCCTATGGTTTTTTTGGATGATCAGATATCTTTACTGTTATTTTATTTTATGTGCGGCCCAAACCAAATTTTAATCTTCTAATGTGGCCCAGGGAAGGTGAAAGGTTGGACACCCCTGCTATAGGGGCTTCCTGCTTGACCAGGGGATTAGACTAGAAGTCCTCCAAGGTCTCTTGTTACTTGTGTTTTGTATTCTGAACGTGAGCATGCAGCAAAGTAGTCGCACTGGTGCCTTTTGCATTTGCCCCCTCAGTATCTCATCAGTGGAGATCTGCTACAATATGCAACTCTGAATTACTGTACTTTCATTTCAGAAAAGCGTGAGAAAGTATCAGAAGGAACGAAGTGTTCCTATTTTTTGCTTCTTGTTTTGCAATCCTGTATCTGGATTGGAAGTAGTTCCATATCAAAATCAGAAATGAATGGCTTTATGAAATGACTATGAATAATTAGTTGCTAGATTTATAGGGAAGTGGCCTGGGTGTAAAGGTCTTCTGCTACATTATTTCTCTTTTTCTGACTATGTTTACAAGTATGTAGCGAGTGAAGAGGTAGCAGGAATTATCAGAAAACAGGGAACTAGGAGAATGAGCAAGATAAATACATATAAAAACCAGCTTTTGTTGTTTTTTTCCCTATCCGTTTTATCCTGGGTAAATTAACTAGCATAAAAGGTATTACATAATACTTTAGATTTATATTCCTCAAAGGAGTATGAATACATCCATCTCTAGCAATAGGAGAGCTAATGCATGCCCTCCTTCCCCACTATAAAGGCCGCAGTGACGCAGTGGTTAGAATGCAATACTGCAGGCTATTTCTGCTGCCTGCCAGCTGCCTGCAATTTGACAGTGCGAATCTCACCAGGCTCAAGGTTGACTCAGCCTTCCATCCTTCTGAAGTGGGTAAAATGACCTAGATTGTTGGGGGCAATAGGCTGACTCTAAACCGCTTAGAGAAGGCTATAAAAGCACTGTGAAGTCTTTACAACTCTAAGTGCTATTGCTATAATGTTGAGTCCGAGCAGAAGCAATGCCTGCCAGGAGCTTACTGGCCAGAAACAAGCTACCTACTTCAATCACAACCAAAACTACAGCAAAGAAGCCTATTGTTCCTGCGTGACTATTGAGCCATCTGTTTAACTGAGGAACACAGCCTCCAAGATAGATGGTGCTTTGAACTGCAAACTCCTCCATGCCTAGGGTGCCAAAGCCACACTGCGAATTCAGGATGGTACCATTTTCTAGTGGATTCACACAACATGATGCAGGAACGCCACAGGCTTGCACACCTGGAGAAGTGCAGTTAAAATACCTGTAAGGTAAAAAAAAAAAAAAGGAAGAAATGTTTCATTCTTAAGTTCATCCCAAAGTGTATCTCCCAGGTTTTTCCAGTATCTACTTCATCCTCCCAATATAAACCAGATCCCATGGCCAATCTATCTGTGAATTCATTGGTTCAAGATCTATATATGCAACAACAAGAAAACACTCCGCCCCCCATTGCTACTGGGATTCAGAAAATCTTGAGATTCTAGCACAAATCATGCAGGATTCTATCCGTATGTCAGTTTTCCTTTTTCCCTCTTTATCTAATGGGTAGTTCATAAAATCAGCCATTAAGACTGATTGCTAGGACTCAAGCCTCCTGCAGTTATCAAGGAGCAGTAAGTACAACTGTAATCTCTCCTAAGGAATCAGCTTAGGTCTAAAGTCCTAACTATAAAAACTTTGAATGGGCTGAAACTAATTTTACCTATCACCTATGTGACAAAAGGATAATGTTCCTTGCGATATCTATTTATGTTTGGTTTCCAAACTGACAAGACCCAGTTCTGATAACATGACCTGAGTTCTTGAGATAGTGAAATAGACTGAATTTAATCTCCACCCTCCTGTGCTGAACAGGCAGCTGAGGTTGTTAAAGATGACTGGGCCAAGAATGTGTTTACAGATCTTATGTAAAGCTTTCTCAATGAAAACTGTTTATTTCTACTATTACTATAATCAGAGATAATATATTAAATCAAACAGATTAGGAATTATCTAGAATATCTAACAAGTAAAGATGAAAACACACCACAGTGCCTTCTCAATAAACAAAGATACTAATATTTAAACAGCATGTATGGCTAACCAAAAAATAGACTGTCATGTTCTCCCAGGATTACAGTTATACTCCACTGCTTTGGCACACCTATCTTTCATGGAAACTGATAGATAGGCCAAAAAATTTACTCACAAATTTGCTTTCCAGTCCAGATAAGACTTTACTCCACAGCATTGGAGGCCTGCTTGAATTTCATCCATAATGAACTGGAGATCTAGGTCATCCTGATACTGTAACATTGCCACCGTAAGAAAATTTTGCAAGGAAGTCTTTATGTGTTGTCTCAGAGAAAAGACAACAAGTCCACTCAAAACTTCCAAAACCAAAGAAAACATTATTCCTCCAGTAAAAAGCTTCAGAAGAAAGATGCTTTCAAAGAGGGCTCCTGTACAGCCCAAAAGAGATATAGATGTAGCTACTAGCCCCACTAACACAAAAAAAAGCATGGGGTCACTGCCCAAATATGTTATTCGTTCACTTTCCAGGGATTCCTTCTCTGAGAGCCCCCAAATTCCTATAGACAAAATGAATAATCCTGTAATGGAGAAAATTGTGTTCCAAGTAAAGGTCAAGCATTTAGCACAGTGGCTAAATGAATCCAGAGGAAGATGGGAAGACTGATGAAGAAGGTACCGTTGTCTTGTCGGATTCCAAGAACAACCACTTTCTTGTCCATCAGGGCTCAGAGGTGTGCCTTGTGCCTTATATGAATAATACTTGTGATCATTCTAATCAACAAAGAAGAGAATCAGAGAATGCAAATTATATATCAGAAATAGGAAACAAAGTAAGATAGAAAATGCATTTTCCCTACAGCATTTGAAAGGCAATACATAACTCTGAAATATTTTTGTGTCGGTTTTTAAAATTTAACATTTTTACAATATGACTGGATTATTAAAAACAAC